AGTTTATTGAGAGAAGGGAGAGAAAGAAGGGGTAGCTGGTGGCCAACAGAAAGCAGGAGAGAGAGAGAGCAGGAGGGGGGCAAGAGAGAGACCAGAGAGAGGAACCAGAGAGAGACCAGAGAGAGTGACGCACTTGGCGCGATTGCTTTAAAAAGGTGCTTGCGCATGCTTAACTGAGTCCTCTGGCAGCCAGGTAAGGCTGCCTTAGCGATGACACGGCCATGAACGTTCTGCCCATCGTTAGGGCGACGATGGTCAGCTGGCTGCTAGTTCCTAACAAACATTACTTTTTTTTGTCTTTCATTTCCCCCCTTTTCCTCTTGTCAATAGTTCTAATCTTAAAACTATGGAAATTAAGAAGCAGCCTCCTCTTGGCTCCGGAGGCTCCTATACTGCTATCTAAGCACCATAATCTGGACAGCACTCATAACAAAAGTAACAATTTTTCCAACAGTTAGCAACAAGAGAGAAATAAAAAATAAAAATGGGCAGTTGTAAGAGGCTGTCCCTGGAGTGGTGTGGGGGTGGGTCCATAGGAGGAGGACATATTCTGGACCAGCCACAAAGTGAGCCTTTTCACCGAGTCTCAAGGTTTCCGTGTGGTGACATCTAATGTAATCTAGATCTCCAACTTGGAAGTGATGTGAAACTTCCAAGTCTCCCGCCACGTAGGTCTCCCAGAGCTGCTTCCATGCTCGCTGTCTCACCCACTTGAGCACCTTAAGCCTAGCAAACAGAGGCTTAAGACAACAACAGCACATCAGCACTATGTACAGAGGTGATTTCCACCAGTGGAAGGCCCCCCCATAGAGCCATTTATAAGGGGTTCAGCCCAAATGGTCCAGGGGTGTTTCTAACCCTGAAAAGCACAAAGAGTAGGAGAGCTATCCGATCATTAACGCCAGTCTCCGCGGTCAATTTAGTGAAGGTCTCCTCAATGGTTTTATTTATACTTTCTACCTGAGTTTTGGGGTCTGTATGCACAGTGTAATTTTAATCAATCCCCAATATCTTGGCCATTGACTGACTTACCTGGGCAACAAATAACTGGACCATTGTCTGATTTTACTACCTTAGGTATTTTAAATCTTCGGAAAATTTTCTTCAGTAATTTTTTTTCTTTTTTTTTTTCTTTTTTTTTTTTTTTTTTTTTTTTTTGCCACTACGGTTGAGACAGCCCCATGCACATGAACAGTTGAAAAAGCATACCTGCTGCCTGTTAATGTTTATGGACTTCTCTTTGTCTAGCAGTACCATGGCCCCAGCCCTTTCTTTACCTTTTACAATGTAACTGCTCCCAGCAGTGAACCAGCCAACATCTCCTCAGCCAGCAGGATGTCCTTAAGATCTTTGTGAACTCCAGTCTCTTTAACCAACAGTTGATGGCAGTCTTGAGTCCCTGGTTCTCCAGTCTCCTCAGGCAGAAGAGTGGCGGGATAAGGCTGGCTGGTGGAGCGAACGCAATCCGCTCAATCTCTCAGTGAGAAGCAGGCTTTGGTGGTGAGTCACACGGGCATTGGTCATCATCAGTCGGTGGCTGCCAGACAATGCTCTCCAATGCATGGGGGCTATTATAGTTGCTTTATGCCCCAAAGTCAACTTGTCAGCAGCAACAGCTTTTAGACAGCCAGGCCCTCCCCTGGCTACAAGATCAAGCTTCTCTGACAGATAAGCAACTGGTCTGTTCCACGGCCCTAGGGATTTGGTCAAAACTCCACAGGCGACCCCCTTATGCTTGTCCACATAAAGGGTAAAAGGTTCGTTACATCAAAAGGCTTAGAGCGGGTGCTTTCAGCTGGACCTTTTTAATGGCATCAAATGCCTCCTGATGCTCTGGGGTCCAGGAGAATTTTTTCCTCAGTCAGCCTGCAAAACCCAGATGTCTCCAGAAATTCTCTTACTTGCCTGGCCATCGTTGGGGAATTTTAAACCCTTGGGACAGTCGGGTCCAGATGAACTGCCCAGTTCTGCACATGTCAGGGTCCTTCCATTCAAAGGCAAAAAGCAGTTGGCTGGTGGGATGTAACCTCCAACGAGTGGGGTACCCGGCCCACACCAAGGTTCACTGTTCTTCGGGTAGTCCATGAATTACCTTGGGCTTGGGGAGAGGATCCAAACCCCGTCTCCCTTTAATTTTATCTTTTTTTAGGGCTAGGACCTTCGATACCTTGTCTTCTTGGGACAGTAATTTGCAGTAATGTTAATGAAAGACTAACCTGGAAACCAATATCTGTTCCTTGGAATTTGCTAACTTCCTCTCACAAGGCCCTGAGATAACAAGAATTCACACTGCCCCTCCTTTCCTGTGAGTCAGCAGGTGGTGAATAGGCTCCTTAGGAAACAAAGAGATAGCTGCAACTCTGGTTTGCCCACACAAAATTAATTAGCACACCCTGAGGCCCTAAGGTCTGTTGACACTAATAGCAGACCATCAGGCCTCCAAGGGTCATGTACTCAATGGACAGAGGGTCCCAGCCCCTCCCTAAGCTTGTGGGGTTGCCTTTAAAAACACCTGGGCCCGGGGGAGGGGGCTTCTCTCTAGCCTGTGTGCTGGAGGAGCCCTTTGCGCAAACATTTCCTGTTCATTAAAGCCTCTTGCGTGTTGCAGCAACTGGACTGGACATTGAGTTCTTGGGGTACTGACCGAAACTGGAAGACTCTTCATTCTGAGGGTCTTACACATCTGGCCTGGGCTTTTTTGGTTAGCAGATTTTTAATGACTCCTCTATTTCCTTAGGGGTAATAGTTCTATTTAAATTGTTTATCTGTTCTTAATTTAACTTTGGAGTCACAGAATAAAGGTCAGGAGGGCAGATTCAATACTGAAATGCCTTGAGTTTATTTTTTACCACTCTTTATATCTTAACTGAAAAGGGGAATACGGTATCATGTATACCGGACAAACACATTTTTCTTCCTCATTTATTCTAAGGGTTCAGTAACCACACCTCAGATTAAACTTCTCCTTCCCTAGCCTTGAGTGTCAAGAGTAGCCACACTTCAGACCACTTGTTATTCTTTAGAATATGACAGCCAAACACCCTACTGTAGCCACACCTTTGACCTTTAGATCTTGCTGAAGACAGTTTTGAACTCTCTGACCTTGTGCCAAGGTGGAATGCAGTCATCTTTATAGGCACTAACAAATTTCTTTTAGATTTTTCCAGTTTTGTGGAGTACAGGTTTTTAAATTATGACATAAAGATTCCTTAGATTTCCTCAGTGTCTAATTTTATGCCCCCCTTTTTGTTTCTAGTTTTGTTGATTTGGATATTTTCTGTCTGTCTTTTAGTTAGTTTGGATAAGGGTTTGTTTACCTTGGTATTCTAAAGCAACCAACTCTTGTTTCATTGATTCTTTGTATTGTTCTCTTTGTTTCTGTTTTGTGTGGGCTTGCTTCTTTTTGTTCTAGAGGTTTTAGGTGTGCTGTGAAGTTGCTAGTCAGATCTATTCAGTTTCTTTCTTCTTCTTCTTCTTCTTCTTCTTCTTCTTCTTCTTCTTCTTCTTCTTCTTCTTCTTCTTCTTCCTCTTCCTCCTCCTCCTCCTCCTTCTTCTTTTCTTTTTGGTTTTTCAAGACAGGGTTTCTCTATGCAGCTTTAGAGCCTGTTCTGGAACTCACTCTGTAGAGGAGGCTGGCCTCAAACTCACAGAGATCTGCCTGCTTTAATAAATCATGAATAATATAGCAGTATATTGTTCAGTTTCCAGAAGTTCGTAGGCTTTCTGCTGTTTCTGTTGTTGAAATCTAGCTTTAATTTACAGTGGTCTTATAGAATGCAGGGGGTTATTTCAGTTTTCTTGTATATGTTTAAACTTGCTCTGTGACCAAGTATGTGATCAGTTTTTGGAGTATATTCCATAAAGTGCTGAGAAGGTATATTCTTTTGTGTTTGGGTGAAATGTTCTGTAGTTATCTGTTAGGTCCATTTGGTTCGAAGCGTTTGTTGGCTCCAGTATGTCTCTGTTTAGTTTTTATATGGAAAATTTGTCCATTAGTGGGAATGGAGTATTGAAGTCTCCCCTTTATCAATGTGTGAGGGTGAACCCAGCAAAAAAGCAGAGATTATCAGACCAGCATAAAAATTCTATCTACATTCTGTCTTTAAGAAATATAATCAATTCAAAGTCACAAATAGGTGAAGGAAAACCTACAGAGCAGACATTATGCAAACAGCAACCAGAAAGGAACCAGAGTGTTTATTATTCATAGCAGACAAAGTAAATTTTAAAGTAACAATATTACTAGTAACAAAGGGACATTTTATGATGCCATATGTTTACTATATTAGGAAACTAAAACAATTACTATGTATAGACAAAATATCCAAATACATGGTGAATTAAAAAGAAAGCCAAAGATTATAGTTTGGGTATTTCAATATCCTATTCCCTATATGGGATCCCTATAATTGATAATTAAATATATAATTGCTGAGAAGTTAAAAAACTCAAAGAAATTTAGCCAAATTAGCTTATAAGAAAGCATATATAGACATAACCTGACAATAGCAGAATGCTCATTCTTTTTAAGTATAAATGGAGTATTCTCCTAGAGGTGCTTTCCGGGCCTTCATATGTGGTTACCCAGTATTCACTGAGCACCTGTGTACCAGGCATGTATATCTGGCCCTTGCTGACTAATTACTGGCCAGCAGAGCAAGTTTTTGGGGTTGAAATTCAGCTGGTCTGGTTGGTTCTGGTCCCAACTACTGGTATCAAGCTGCCAATTTATTTGACTTGTTCACATTATCTCCTAGTTGAAAGGGGGCATAGCTGAAAAATAGAACACAAGACATATGTTCTTTCTGTGGCAGTGGGAAGGGTTTGGGGTAATATGGTGGCTAAGTAGTCACACTCAGAGCTGCCTACAGTCAGAGATAATCTGTGGGTGCACATGCTGGTCTCATAATGGAGATAGGACCACACCTGCAGAGAAGCAGCAGCAGGTGTGATCTGGTACTTTGACACACTAAAACTACAGTGTTTTATTTCCTCCACAGGCAGTGTCTCCTGCAGGGGACCCCAGCAACTCAGCTTGACACCCAGCCATGCAAGCATGACAAAGGCTATCAGGTAGATCCTCATTAGGGTAAAACATAAGTCACACAAAATTCCCAGCCAGTGTTGAAGTTGACAGGTTGCCTCTAAATCCTGTGTTCATGTTTGAAGAATGTCGTATTATATGTTTCACTTTATATAGTTTGAGTTTTTTTTTAATATAAAGTATGGCTTAGATTCCTCAAAAAGAACTATACAATAACTCCTTAAAGGAGTAAGCTAGGGCCACAAATGTTTCCTAGAAAAGCTGAGGTAAATAGTCTTGCTTCTTATGCAGCTCCTCAGCTCTGCCTTTGTATGAGGAGTGTGGCTAGAGGAGTAGAAGGTAGCAGACTGATTGTACCCCACAAAGTACTTCACAGAAACAGAGACAGGCTGGCTTGGCCTATGGCTATAATATACCAACTCTAAGGACATACCTTTCTCCATGGACAGGTAGGTGGCTCCTACTGTCTATCATACACATTCTGAGCACTCAAAGGCCAGTCTCCAGAAGACAAGCCCTGCTCTTTCAGATGCTTCTCTTGAACATCCTACAATGCCATATCAAAGTCTGTATTTTATTGCCCACCTCCAGCCAACTCATGGTCTGATCCATGTAGCTATGTCCATCTCTTATGTGTATGTGTATTTGTCTGTTGGTTGAAGTGCCTGACAAGAAGTTTTGTTCACCCTGAGGACTTTATCCTCCTCCCCCTTTTCTTCAAAGCTGGCTCACACTGAAGCTCCAACATTACCTCATTCTCTACTGGCTTTCTATTACCCTGGTTGGTGGTGTATTGTGTTATTACTGCAACCCAGCACCCATTTTTCTGGTTCCTCTAGACTACATGGTTATAGTTTATACATGGCAAATATGTTGCTGAATATCCAGGCTCTGTTTGACTCATCTGTGGTAAAATGGCTATCTAGCGAGTGTTGCAGAAAGGGCAAGGGAAAGTGAATATAAACTTGTTCTGTGACTTCTGTGGAAGGCAAGAAGTATTGATTGTTTATTCTGTATAACTCTGTGGACCGTAGGCTCACTGACAGTCCCTACTCATCTAGAATATACAGGCAAGAGAAAGATTAGTATTTGTGAATTTGAAAAAAGAAGATATGGATGTAGGCAAGTAGGTTTGCTTGTAAGCAGTATGCTCAGAAGCAAGCTGTTCATGAGTTACAGAAGTTAGCTACCCTGGGATGAGCAATGTCCCCAAGAACTACAAGGTTCCAGGGTGTCTAAAACCCATAAAATCTAGAAAAAGTAGAGATTAGCAAAGAAGGGGAATCCAGTCAGCTGATGATAGATAGCACCATGCTGAGTACTGCCTGTAAGGTGAGCCTAGGAAGCCTGAGCAGCACACGTGTTAAGACTCATCTTTCTGGAGGCCATAGACAAAAATATTGTCTGGAAAAGCTTGCCAAGAAAGCTTCCCTAACCTTCAGAATGCTGAGGATGGAACCCTTGGTGACTAAAGGGAGCTATAGGCTGGCCTGAAGAGGCCAGATGGTACTACACGGTGAGAAGGTGCTAGAACTGCCTAGAGTTGCTGGAAGGGATTGGGGAGGTAGAGTAAGATGGCTTCCAGGAACAGGTAATACAGACTGAAACTAGCTATGGTGACAGAGAAGATCATGAAGTTCTAAAGACCCTGGCTCTCTTTGTTCCTGTTGAGTAAATAATTTTCATGAACCCTAAGAAAAGTGAAAATGCCTCTTGACTGTGGTCCTCTGGTAGCTGACAGAATACAGACAGCCTCCTGAGTGGTCCTATTTACCACCTTCTCAGCCTAGAGCAGGTCTTATTCATCCTAAGGACTCAGACCTTTAAGGCCATACAGTAGTCAATATTTGGATGACCATGTTACCAGAAATTTGAAGAACGTTTGTAACTGTTTTTGTTTAATTTATTGTTAGAGTCCCACCATTGCAGATGTCCTACAAGGAACTATCACCAGCTCCAGCATCACAGTTATCCAGCAAAGCAGCACAAGGGCCTTCTCCCAGCATTAGTAGTTCATGGATTGGACTACCCCGGCAGCCCATCAGCATTTCAGGCCTGCTGCAGAGGCAGTGTGCAGGCAAGTGCTCAGCCAGCTTTTTGGCACCAAGGCTGCTCTCATAAGAGTACATATATAAGGTGTTTGTATAGATAATGTCTGGTGAGGGCAAACAAAAAACCTCACACTCCTCAGTTTCTTGACAGTAGTTCATAAGCCCATTAGTGCTGGTTTCTGTCTCCATGAAAGAACTAACCTGACATGAAATTTTAAAAACACTTATTTAAGCCAGTGAACTCTTTTTTTCAACTTATTTTTCTTATTTGATATTTGCATTCTTGTTTTCTTAAGCAGATAGAATTAAGAAGTCATTTCAAAGCTTACAACTCTTAATGCTTCCTATAGGGTCAGCATCCCCTGGGGGGATGGACACTGAGAAGATGAGCCCATTCTTGCCTTCCACACCTGCAAATCTACGCTCTACATCCAGCCCCTGGCATATGTGTATTCCTCGGTAAATATCACTGACTATACAGTTCATTCTAGAGAAATGACATAACTAAATAAAGTAGCTTTCTGATAAAGTAGCAGTCTGGATAGCCTTGTGGAGTTTTTTGGCAGCTGTATTCTTCTGACACTATAGAACTCTCCTAAATGTGGCTGTGGAGGCAAAGAGAGCAGCCACCTGAGGCTCACTGTCAGGGATCTCCAGCTGCAGCTCTCTAGAATTCAGGATGTCAGGCAAGTGCCACAACATAATATATGTGCACAGAACATCCTTTGCGGAGAGCCAACAGTTAAAGGTTATTCCATTTCATTCTTGTGTTGTGGGTTTCCAGTGGCATGGTTCTGTTATTTGGAGCTTGTGCCAGCCAATTTGGGCTGTGTACCATGGGCAGATCTCTGCAGAGACCTTGCAGGTAAGGCCTAAGGGCATAGAACCTGTTCCTGTGCTGGACAGCAGGTCCTTCCTGTGGGACACATCTGGCACTCATAGGTAGGTCCCTATACCTCTCATAATTCAGCACCCTAAGGTCTAGGGAAGGGGCTAATCCTTTACTTTCTCTTTGCCTGTACTTTTGTCAGAGAGCATGTCTGGTTCTAGAGAAGTCATTAAATTTGCAAATAGTCTGAGATGCAGGCAGACTGCACACTTGATTATTCTGTGGATGCTGCAGCTCCTCCCCAGTCCTCAGGAAATGATGCTTGAGTTGCTGAGCAGGATAAGCCTTGCTTCTGCTGTCACAGAAGGCTATATGCCCCACTCATGGCTTTCCTCCAGGAGTATACTTGATCCTAGAATTATGTGATGGATGTTCAGAAATCTTGTCATAATATACCTGTTCTAAGTTGATTCCATTCCTAGATTTTATTTGTAAAAATATTTTTGTAAATTCTTTGTAAATCTCATGCAGTATGTTTTGACCACTTACTCTTTTTTAAAAAATATTTACACTATTTTATTTCATTTTATGTTTATGTGTCTGTGTGAGTATCTGTACATGTGGGAGATCAGGGCTTTGCCAAGTCCAGAAGAGGACACTGGATCACTTAGAGCTGAAGCTACAGACATTTTTTTTATTTATTTTTTTATTTTATTTAATTTTATATAACAAAGTCCAATTAAATGAAAACAAACATTTATGCACAATATTTGGGAATTTGGGCATCGTTCTTCCCAAACTACTTCCTGCTGGTAAGGGGCACTGTCTTGGGGGGATTCGAAGAAGATTCAGATATCCTGGCTGTAGTCTATAGGGCTATTTTGTCCAGCTGTTTTGAATGTAGGATTAGCTTGTACTCTGTTTCAGGCGGTCTGGCATGATCAAACCTCATTAGTCTGGAAGGAATCCACATCTTTTCATTTTCTGTGGAAATAAAAATAGAAATCCTTTTCCCCAGTAACTTGTCCTTCAACTTAAATTTTGGAGTCAAAGCATTTTTTTTAATTTAATTTATTGTTTTACATGTCGATCCCAGTTCCCTCTCCCTCCCTCCCTCCCCCCCCAAACCTCCCTCATTCCCTCCCTTTTACCCTCTCTGCCCTCTCACATGCACTCTAAACATCCCCTCCCATCCCCCCACCCCAATTCCATGTGTAGGGGAATGCCATCCAGTTGGGGTCATGTAGATCTGACAGGTCCTGTGAAGTAGGGACTAGGGCTTCTCTCCTGTCTCTAGATTAAGGCAGTTATCCCTCCATGGGGGATATGTTCGCCAAGTCCTTTTGTGCACCAGGGATACATCCTGGCTCCACTGTCTGAGGTCCCTTAGACTGCTCAGTCCTTCTGGCTGAGACCCATATTCAGGGGGGCCTGAGTCAGTCCCATGCTGGCTTCCCAGCTATCAGTCTGGGGGCCCGTTAGCTCCTCCTTGTTCAGGTAAGCTGTCTCTATGTGTTTCTGCCACCTGGTCTTGTCCTCTCCATCTGTATCTGGGTTCTAGTTCGACTCAGTGTTTGCTCCTATTTTCAACAGGCATTAGTTGAGGACTCCATGGAGAAGTTAGTTGTTGATCTCACTCTCCGGGAAGGGCTTTTATGATAGCCTTTCCACAGAAGCTGAGATTGTTAGTTGGGAGCAGTCTTGTAGTTCCCTAGACCTTTCTTTGTGTTCAATTTTATCTTCAAACCAATATTGTCTCCCTCTTTTATGTTCTCTCTCTCTCTCTGTCTGTGTCTCTTTCTCTCTCTCTCTCTTTCCTATCTTCTATTCCTAACCAGGCTCAATCTTCCTGTTCGCACATGTTTTCCTTTCCTCCCCCTCATTTTCTCCTACTTCTCTCTCCATTTGCTGCCTTCCCCCACTTCACCTGAGCTCTGGGGGACTTGTCCCTTCCCAGTTCTGTGAGGGACTTTATATGAATCTCTTAGAATACACCTTGTATCCTAGTTCGTCTGGTGATGTGAATTATAGGCTGGTGATCATTTGATCCAGGTCTAAAATCCATATATGAGTGAGTACATACTGTGTTCCTCTTTTTGTGACTGGGTTACCTCATTCAGGATGGTTTCTTCAAGTGCCATCCACTTGCCTGCGAATTTCAAGATACCATTATTTTTTTTCTGCAGAGTAGTATTCCATTGTGTAGATGTGCCACATCTTCATTAACCATTCTTCAATTGAGGGGCATCTAGGTTGCTTCCAGGTTCTTGCTATTACAAATAGTGCTGCTATGAACATAGTTGAACAGATGTCTTTGTGAAGCTACAGACATTAATGAGCCACCTAACATGGCCACTGGCATCTGAACTCTAATCCTCAAGACTGATCAGCAAACATTCTTTTTCTTGTTATTTGGTATAGCTTGGGCAAGAGCAGAGTGTTGGTTTTGGTTTTTTGTTTATTTGTTTGTTTGTTTGCTTTAAGACAGGGTCTCTCCCATAGCCCTGGCCATCATGGAATTCATTATATAGACCAAGCTTCCTGGAACTCACAGAGATCTGCCTGCCTCTTCCCCCCTGGTGCTACAATTGAAGGCATGTGCCACTACACCCAGCTAGCAAGCACTCTTAATCCCTGAGCCACCTCCAATTCCTAGAAATTTAAAAAATACTATAAAATCCATGTTTGTGATACAAATATTTTCTGTCATATAATGAAAACATAATTATTTAATTCTAAGATGTCAGATAACTATGAAATGTAAATGATCTGTGTTTATGATACCTTAGTGTGAACCTTGAGCCTAACTATCACCCCATGGATCAGGTGCAAAGGGGCAAGGCAGACCAAGCACACTCATGACTGTAGTGTTGCTCAGGGAAACAATGTTGAAAACAATGCTGAGGAATTCAGCAGGTACATCTCACCCCACTACATTATTCCCTCAGAGGAACCCTGGGTCACAGGGTCTCATTATTCTGGTGTAATCTTAAATTTTTACAATTTCTTCCATTGCTTAAATTACATTCTACACCTAAATTTTGATACCATGATTTTTAGCATTTTACGCTATTTTATTTTGTTACAGTTGAGCTTTAGGGAGCCATTTAGTTCTGGGACACATTTGGTGGAACTGAGATGTTTACCCTTGTTGGCCCTTTCATCAGCACTATCACAACCAATTCATCTGTTGTTCTTTTCCAGTAGGTAGTTGCCCAACACAAGTACTCCAAGATGGGGCTCCTGGGTGTCACTAATCAATACTGGAAGCCCACATCCTTCCCCACAATAGCAGCATAGAAGTGTGAAGTATTCAGAGACAAGGTATCTGGAAGTCAAGGGCCAGTGGTGGGTGGTAATTGCAGCAGAGAAGTAAGACTGTGGAAGGGAAAAACCCTGTTCTACATACATTGACCCTAGAAGAGCAGTAACTTTCCTGCTTGCCACAGTCCCACCTGCAGTCAGTCCATCAACAACTGAGCTCTGCCTTGGCCTTGGCCTGCCATAATAACTCACAGTATAGCTTTGGCTCAGTGGCATGCTGTTTCAGATGGTCTCTTTTATTTCCTAAAATCACAATGTAGCAGAGTTCAGAAGTCATCTTTGGCTCCTCCCTAACTGTACAGATGTACAGGCCTCCTTTCCATAATAAGCATCCCTCTAAGCCAAGTAAAAAGCCCTTGCCAAGAGACCCAGGAGAGCATAGCTACAAGTGCTTCATAGTCTCAATGTGTTACACATGACCAGGAAAATGAATACAGTTGTTACTTTTCTTTTGCTAAATTTCTGAGTTTGAGGGGAAAGGAAGACATTAAGACTAAAGATAATATGCTTATAAACAGAAAATGTCATCACCATGTGAGATTCTGAGGAATATTCTAGAAGGAAGTGATTAAGAGTTTAATATGAAAGGTTTTTACTTTACATTTAAATTTACTTATGTGTGTGTATGTATGCCTACAAGTCAGAGTTAATTTTCTCCTTCTACTTTGTGAGTTTTAGGATTGAAACTCAGGTCATCAGGGTTGTCAGCAACCATCTTTACCTGCTGAGGTGAGCCATCTCACCACCACCAGATTGTTCATTGGAGCCAGAATGAGTAAGCTACTAGAATGTTCTTTAGATCAATATTACAATTCCAGTTCAGATTGGACAAACCAATTCTTTTAACATGTTTGCTATTTTATGAAAATTATGAAATTTTATGAAAATAATGCTATTTTATGAAAATTAATGAAAAGACAGTCATTTTAAGTGTGATATAAGAAAGTTTGTGTAACTAATCAATGATTACAGGTTAACAGGTGGCATCTCAAAGCACTGATCCATTTATGTGGGGCAGTGCCTTCCTGGGGGAGAACATGGCTCAGCCACTGCATATTCTGGTATGCTAGAGGGGCACTGGACCACACAAGCTGGAGTTGCTTTGAGTCCCTGTTGGATTCATTTCACAGAAAAACAAGCCATCTATTCAGTGTACCATTGTGAAAGGTTTAGGCAGCTGAAGAAACTCGCAAAGGGAAGAATGGGATGATGAGGTCAGATGCAGAGGTTCCCTGGTTCCTCTCCAGTGTATGTGCCTCAGGGTATAAGTGAACCAAGTTTATCAATGACACCAAGAGGATACTATGCTGAACCCCCTCAATTCACAAGCATAAGTCCTATTAAGAATCTGCCCGGAGGCTGGAGAGATGAGGCCA